AATTAATTAGTTAATTTACTATGCTGGCCACAGTTTCCCCTTCCTCCTCTCCTTTCAGTCCCTCCTCCCATCCCTCCTCTGTTCTCACTCCCCAAATCTACTCCTCCTCCGTTTCTGTTTAGGAAAGGGCAGATCTCCTATGAGTATCAACAAAACATGGCATATCTAGTTACAGTAAGATTAAGCATCTCCTCATATATTAAGGTTGGCCAAGGCAACCCAGTATGAGGAGTAGGGTCCCAAAAGCCAGTAAAAGAGTCAGAGACAGCCCCTGTTCCCACTGTTGGGAGTCCCATAAGAGGACCAAACTACACAACTGTAACATATATGCAGAGGACCTAGGTCAGTCCCATGCAGGCTCCCTGGTTGTCAGTTCAGTCTCTGTGAGCCCCTATGAGCCCAAGTTTGTGGTGATATATTGTGTACTCTAATAAAATTTGCTTGAAGATCACAGAACAAGCCACTAGATTAAACATAGATGCCAGATAGTGGTGGCACATACCTTTAATCCTAGCACTTGGGAGGCAGAGACCCATCTGGATCTCTGTGAGTTTAAAGCCACCCTGGACTACATGAGATTGAATCAGTCTAGGAGAGAAACAGAGCCAGACAGTGGTGGCACACGCCTTTAATCACAGTACTTGGGAGTCACACGCCTTTAATACCAGCACTTGAGATCTCATGCCTTTGCTTGGGAAGCACACATGCTATTAATCCCAGCGCTAGGAGGTGATGGCTGGGCAGAGAAAGGCATGTAAGGCGTGAGGAGACAGGAACTGAAACTTTTTCAGACTGAGGAGTCCTAGAGGTAAGAGGTGGCAGTGGCTTGTCCCTTTGTTTTTCTGATCTTTCAGCATTTACCCCAATATCTGGCTCTGGGTTTTTTATTATAAGACCATTTAGCAATCTGTGTTACACAGGTTAGTTGATTCTGTGAGTTTTCCTGTGGTGTCTTTAACCCCTTTGGCTCCTACAATCCTTTCCCCCCCCTCTTCTGCAGGATCCCCTGAGCTCAGCCTAATGTTTGGCTGTGGGTCTGCATCTGTTCTATCAGTTGCTGGATGAAGCCTCTCTGATGACAATTGGGCTAGACACCAATGTGGTCACAGGAGATGGCCATTTCAGGTACCCTCTCCACTATTGCTAGGCGTCTTAGCTGGGGTCATCCTTGGAGATTTCTGGGAGATTCCCTTGAGCCAGGTTTTCACCTGACCCCAAAATGCACCCCCTTTCCAGTAGTCTCCCTCAATACTCTCCCACCCTGTGTCCCCCACACCCAATCTGATCACTTACGTTCCCATGCCCACCCGGCTTCAATCCCTTCACAAAACCTCTTCTATTTCCCCTTCCCAGGGAGATCTGGAGATCCATCCCCCTTCCCCCATGAACTCTCTTTGTTACCTAGTCTCTCTGGGTCTGTGAATATAGCATAATTATCCTTTATTTTACAGCTAATATCCACGTATGAGTGAATACATACTATGTTTCTCTTTTGTGGTCTGGATCATCTCACTCAGGATGATTTTTTTCTTGTTCCATCCATTTGCCTTCAAATTTCCTGGTGTCCTTGTTTTTAATAGCTGAGTAATATTCCATTGTGTAAATTATCACATTTTCTTTATCCATTCCTTGGTTGAGAGACATCTAGGTTGTTTCCAGTTTCCAGCTATTACAAATAAAGCTGCTGTGAACATAGTTGAGCAAGTATCCTTGTGGTATGACTGAGCATCCTTTGGATATAGGCCCAAGAGTGGTATAACCAGGTCTTGTGGTAGATTGATTCCCAGTTTTCTGAGAAACTGTCACACTGACTTCCAAAGTGGCTGTACAAGTTTGCACTCCCACCAGCATTGGAGGAGTGTTCCCCTTGCTCCACATCCTCTCCAGCATGAGCTGTAACTTGTGTTTTTGATCTTAGCCATTCTGACAGGTGTAAGATGGTATCTCAGAGTCGTTTTGATTTGCATTTCTCTGATGACTAAGGAAGTTGAACATCTCCTTAAGTGTTTCTTGGCCATTTGAGACTCCTCTGTTGAGAATTCTCTGTTTAGATCTGTACCCATTTTTAAATTGGATTATTTGGTTTGTTGATGTCTAGTTTCTTGAGTTCTTTATAGATTTTGGAAATCAGCCCTCTGTCAGATGTTGGGTTGATGAAAATCTTTCCCCATTCTGTAGGCTGCCGTTTGACTCATGGGCATCTTGTACTACAAAATGTATTCAGTACAACTTCAAAGGTCCCACAACCTACATTTCTAACACTGTTTAAAGGTACAAAGTGTAAAGTCTCTTCTGAGACTCAAGGTGATCTCTTAACTGTGAACGCCTCCAAAGTGGAAAAAAAACCCACAACAAAACAACAACAAAAACAAACAACCAGGTTTTAGACTTCCAGCACAGAGTGGCACAGGGTAAACATTCCCACTCCTAAAGTAAGGAATGAAAGGCTAGCAAGGGGAGCCAGGCTGAAACCCAATATGGAAAACATCAAACCATGCAGCTCCATGTTCAGCATCTGGGGCTAGTGACATCATCATCTGGTTTCTAGCAGGCTTGAACAGCCTCATCCTTCCAGCTCTGTTGCCTGTGGCCATCGTGACCTCCCTCCCGAGCTAGCTCCACTTAGTGCCTGCGGCTTTCCTTGGTGAATATCCCACAGTCCTGGCACCTCTAATATCTAGGGGTCTCCTTTGCAACTTAAATGTTTCCTTTTCAGTTTCCGACAGGGCCTGTTTAGGAGCTCTGTGCAAGGGGTCCAAACCTAACCTGCTGTGAAAGGGAAAAATCAGTAGCCATCTTGAGAGACATCTCCTCCTCCCCTCCTCCAAAGGTATTTGCTGACCAGCAGTTTTAGAAGTGACCAGAAGTTGAACTTAAGGCTGGGACAATAAAGCTATGTATCCTGGACTTGGCAAAGCAAGATATGGGGAGTAATGGACTCAACTGACCAGAAGTTGAACTCAGAGGAGAGTAGGACTGGAACAATAAATCTGAATGTATATATCCTGGGTTCAACAAAAGCAGGACATAGGGAGTAAAAATTTATGTCTCTGTAGATACTCTGAATCCTCTTAGCCATCAGTAACCTCATGCTTATAATTCAGCCAGTAACTTCAAAGAACTACCTCACCCCTATCCCTCTCATCCAATCCCAAGGTGCATGTAAACCTTTCTTATATAAACCCCTTCAAGTGAGTGCTCGGGGCCGTTCTCTTCTACCCACTGTGTCGGATGCTGGACTGCGGACCAAGCTTGCTTGTTTTGTTATTAAAAACCTCTGTATGCTTGCATTGGATATCGGCTCTGTGGTGGTTTTGCTTGGGGGTCTTGCGACCTGGGCACAACATCTGCCTGTTTGTTGCCTACCTTCATCAGCTTTCTGGAACCAGGATGCAAGCCTCTACCTTCTTGCATGCCTTCAAAACAAGCACCACTTAATACGGCACCAAGTTCTGCTGCCAGCTCTAGATGTAGCCTGGTCCCTTTGGATCACATATGCACAGGTCTGTGTGCCTTCACAGGTGAACTTAGGGAGACACTTCCCTTGGTGGCCCTACTTAAGCAGGGTGCCCTGAAGATGCTATCTTCTCAATTATTTCTTTTTGGGGCATGCACCTTTCAAATGGACCTGCATTTTCACACCCTCGGGGCCTTGATGTGTGAGGTTTTGCCCTCAAGCTACCATTACTCTGGTGCCACTGCAGAGTACATAAGGGCTCTCTTTAGTGGCACCAGTTACAAACAATTCCTCTGCAGCCACCTTGTCCAACATACCTAACGTCACCTACACTCCTTCTCTCAACACATTGCACATTTTCTGTATCCTTCTGCTCTTCATTCTGCCTTGAATTCTCGTGAACCTCACAAATGCAGCGAGCAGCCATCATGCCGCCACTAGAAAACCGTGCCATCCTGAAATTTCTCCTACCAAACAATTCAGTTGATTGTTTTTGTGATTTGGCTTCACTCGAATTTTCAGGTCGAATGAATGGAGTCAGACTCTGTCGTCTTTATTCTGCACTGAAACATCATGAGCGCCGCCTGCCCTGTCCACATGGTCTGGTCTTCCACACTCCCGCCAGCACGGCCCATTAGACTTTGCACACCACATCCTCGGACTTCTCTGGCTTGCAGCTCCAAACTCTTCCACATTCTCACTAACCTGTACTTCAAGTCCGTGATCTGCCTGGTCAGGTTTACCACAGCAATGGACCCATGTCTGGTACCAGTTTTCTATATTGTTTACTGTGATGTCTGTGACCAAATATATGAGAAGAAGCAACTTTATGGAGGAAAGATTTATCTGGGCTCACGGTTTAGGGGGATGAAGTCATCATGCTAGGAAAGGCAAGGCAGCAGGAGAAGCTCATGGTTGTTGCAGCAGAAATTTGCTCCATCTAGGAAGATCAGGAGTCAGAAGAGCGGGTAGGAAGCAAGGATGTGTTATGAGCCTCAAGGCTCCTCTAGTGACCCATTTTCTCCAGCTGGGTCCTTCCCCCTAAAGGTTCCACAGCCTCCTCAAACACCACTACCAGACAGGGGAAAATGTTCACACACATGAGGTTCACAGGATATTTTATAGTCAAACCATTAAAAGGGTTTTTAAAGCGAAAGATTAAGATTTCGTTCCCTTCACTGACTTCTGTTTTTATCAAAATGAGGCAAACAAATTTTTTTTGTTAAAATAAACATAAGATGACAAAATACAGGAGAGGATAGTTTTTTTGTTTGTGTGTGTGTGTGTGTGTGTTTTTTTAAAGGATACCTCCGGGCGGTGGTGGCACACAGCTTTAATCCCAGCACTCGGGAGGCAGAGCCAGGCGGATCTCTGTGAGTTCGAGGCCAGCCTGGTCTACAGAGCGAGATCCAGGACAGGCAACAAAACTACACAGAAAAACCCCGTCTCGAAAAAACAAAAACAAAAGGATACCAAGACATCAGATAGTGAAGAACAGTGATACCAAGAAGCTGTGTGGAAAGAAGATGAGCCCCATGCTTACCCTGGATGACGGACGGGCTGATAGTTTCCAAGCCATGAGAAAGGGTAATCCACACAGAGCCCAGTGGACTTCCTGAAGTTCTTCATCAGAGACCCAGAGTTTAAAGAGATGGAAGCAAGGACAGTTTCCAGGGCCGAGTAAGCACCGTTGAGGAGGCCGCTATTCTGAGAGGACAGCAGAAATCTGTGGAGGGCTCTGCTTGGGCTTCAGCCAACAGGCAAGGCATGCTTGCAAAGCCGCAGAGGCCAGGAAGACAGTCTTCCAGATGGATCATAGTATGCTGTTTGACTATGGCAGAATCAAAATAGAAATTAATAACAGGAAACTCCGGCAATTCCTCCCAAATATATGGGAACTAAACACACATAATAAAAGAATTTTTAAATTGAAAGTAATTTAAACAACAACAACACACATACACACAGAGAATATAATAAGAATATATTAAATATTGTATAATATCACTTAAACATTGCCCATAAGAAAATTATTGCAATATATATAAAATTTTTTTTCTTTAACCAAAAAAGAAATTTTTGAAGTAAATGTCTCAGCTTCTACTGGGGCTCAAAGTACAATACCCCAAATATATAACATGGGAAGTGTAACTATACTACCCTCAGATACACTTCTTTGCTACAGTGTGAAAAGCTGAAGACAGCAGTATCTGTGAAAAGCTGTCCCTCTGTAGAAGAAACATGCCCATAAAAGAAGTCCACACTGCGTCTGCCATCAGAGACAACTTTCGTTCTCCACGCATTTCCTTCCTTCTTCCCACACTCATTTCCATCACCCCCAGGAGTTCCCTGACCTTCTTGGTAGCTCAAGATGATGATATAAGCTTTAATCAACTGCCCTTTCTCGGCCTCATAATTTTGTACATTCATAATTTATCATGTTTTTCTTGTTATTTTGTTTCTTTTGTGAATTTAATCCTTAGCTCAGCCAAAAGAACCCAAGGCTGCACCAAAGTTAAAGATTTTTTTCTCTTCCTAATTTAAGGTGTAACTGTTGTTCCCCACACACCCTGCTGTCTATCTAATGACTAACAACACTGGCCCTTCCCCCTGCTGAGTTATGAGAAAGGCTTTCATGGAAATGGCTGTGATGGAAACTGATCACACACAAACCAAACACAAACCTAGGAACAGTCATATTTTCTTAGATTCACTGGTTTGGGATGACTCCATGTCCTCCAAGATAATATACTCAAAGCCTGTGTTCCAGAACTTGATATGCCTGAAGACTACCTGATGCCCACCTGCCTGAGAACAAGACAACCTTCCCACCAAAGCTGTTATATATAACTGATTGATGCCAGAGAAGAACACAGTTGTGATGGCCATTCTTGGTTATCAGCTTGACTTACATCTGGAATTAACTACAACTCAAGCAACTGAGTATACCTGTGAGGGATTTTTTCTTAATTGAATCATTTGAAGTATGAAAACCAGATCTTTTGAGATGGGACATCCACCCTTAATCTTGGCCACACCTTCTGCTGGCAGCCCATATAAAAGACATGGAAGTAGGAAGCTCAATTTGCTTGCTCATGCTCTGGCTAGCAAGTGCATTCCTTCACTGGCATTAGAGCATATGTCTTCAGGATTCTGAAGACATCCAGCCTCATGGATTGAACAACTACTGCATTCTTGGACTTTCCATTGGTAGACAGCCATTGTTGGACTAGCTGGACCACAGCCAGGAAGCCATTCTAATAATTTCCATATATATCAAGGTGGGGTCTCACTATGTATATCTGGCTGTTCTGAACTCACTATGTAGATCAGGATAGCCTTGAACTCACAGAGATCTGCCCACCTCTGTTTCCCAATTGCTGGGATTAAAGGTGTGCAGTATATGTAGAGGTTAAAATTGACAAATTGCAAAAAAAAAAAAAAATTGACAAATTGTTTCTAAAATATACTGTGATACAAAAGACTATGAATAGTTAATCCAATTTTGCATAAAAAGTTTGACTCATTAATTTATTTGAGACATATACAGCTACAACTAGAACAGGAAAATATTAAGAAAGCTGGACAAAGAACCATTTGACTAGAAGGGAGAAGCTCCACGTGTATCGACAGTTGCTTTCTCATGAAAAAGGAATTCAATTCAAAAGTTAGTTTTTCACCAGGACAGTGGTGGCACACACTTTTAATCCCAGCACTTGGGAGGCAGAGTCAGGCAGATGTCTGTGAGTTCGAGGCCAGTCTGGTCTACAGAGCTAGTTCCAGGACAGCCAAGGCCACACAAAGAAACCCTGTCTCAAAAAAACAAACAAACAAAAAAGGTCGTTTTACTAACAAATAATACTGAATACCCATGTTTACAAAAAGAAAAAAAGAAGGAGGTGAGTCCTGGAAATATGGCTCAGTGGTTAAGACTGTCCTGTTTTTTAGATCCTAGCACCAGAGATACAAGTTGGTATTTCACACATGCCTGCAATCCAGCTCCAAGGCAGGGGTGGTGATTGGAGGATCACTGGGGCTTGCTGGCTTTAAGCTCAGCCAAGAAAACTTAGTCCTCAAGTTCAAAGAGTGACCTGCCTCAAAGGAATATGTAGAGCATGACAGAGGAGGCCACCGGAGGCCCTGTTTTGCCCTCTCTATGCAGATACAGACACATACCCTCCACACATGCTCATAGACTCACATAGACACACATCAATAAATAAATAGAAGGCTGATTCATACTACACTCCATTTACAAAATCAATAGCTACAAATGTGAAATCTAAAACTATAAAACTCCTAAGGAAAGATGTAGGTCTTGTAATTCTCATCACAAAGATTTCTTAGCCACAACACTATAAATACGATGCTTAAAGGAACAAATTGACAAACTGACCCTTTCAAAACCTCGTTTTGAGAAGTTGAGATCCAGCTCAGTGGTAGAGCAATTTCCCAGTAAGTACAAGGCCTTGAGTTTGGTCCTCAACTCAATAATAATAATAATAATAATGGCAACAATAATAACAGCGATAATAATAAATAACAATAAACAAACTCCCCTTTTGAAAGGTACAGTCAAAACACAGCCACATATTAGGAAGCAATATCATATGTCTGATATTAAAGAATTTATAACCCTTAAAACTTGATAGTGATATACAACAATGAAATACAAGCAAGCCATTGAAAAGTGGGCAGCATTTTGGGTAGTCACTTTGCTGAGAAGATCTGCAGTACGCACCTTTAGAATGGTTAGAGAAAAAGTGTCGGCAAAGGCGTGGAACTGAAATTCTAAAGCAACTGCTGGTGGGATGTAAAACAGGGGAATCAGTTCAGGGCTGCTGTGTAGTCCAGTCATCCCACTCCTAGATATTGAAAAGGAGAAAAGGTGTACATCTGTGCACTGACTTTTGCCCACGTCTATAACAGTGAAAAACAAGACGCTCCAGACACTCTCCAGTAAGTACATTTGTTACCTCTCTGTTGCTGTGATAAAACACTATGACCAAAGGCAACTTATGGAAGAGTTTATTTTGGCTGATGGTTCCAGAAGGGGAGTCCGCAGTGACAAGGACGTAAGTCACGGGAGCTATGAAGCCCACAGAGTAGAAAGCTGAGAGATTACATCATCATCTGCAAACCAGAAGCAGAGCGAGTGAAATGGGGGTGGAGTGGTGCCCTTTTCCCCCATCAAGGCTCCACGTCATTAATGTTACATTGGCGATCCTCAAAAAGTACCACCAGCTGGGGGCCAATGTTTAAGTACATGAGCAGATTGCGGACATTGCTCATTCAAGCCACCACAATAAGTGAGTGAACAATCAAATTGTAACACAGCCAAAGAACAAAACGTTCTACAAGATAACCCGTCGATACGTAGTACAACATGGATAAATCTTAACTACGTTGAGTGAAAAAGACAGACAGACAGACGGGAGTACATCTTATTCATCCCAATTACCTAAAATTCTAGAAAATATGAACTGTTCATATACCCGGTTCCTTATTTTCCGTGATTTGGTATATTTTTTTTCTTTAGATTTTTATGGTGGTAAAAAAGTGTGAACTGGCTGTCTGTAGCAGTGAGCTGAACTGTCACTCAGTCACACAATCCCAAGGAGGCAAGTGGTGCTGCAGTGCATGCTTGCTAGCGGCGAAGTTCAGCAGGTTAGGGAGAGCAAATGCATTATCATCTTGCAACAGGTTCAAGTTGAGGTATGCCTGCAGAAGCAGAAAGCAGGCTCATGGCTGTCTAAGGAGTGAAAGGAGAGCCTGGAGGACATTAAAAAGGGTGACGAGGGGTTTTCAGTCTCTATTGTTGTGTTGGTTTCATGCTTATATGGAAGGTCAACATTTATCAAATTGTATGCTTCAACCATGTCAAGTTTATTATCTGCCAATTATACCTTTTAAAAAGCTATTTAACACCTGAAGCCATGTTGATGTCATGGGCAATGCTGCCACTGAGGGCCTTGTTGGGGTCCGTGGTCCTGTTGCAGATTGGGGTCAAATCGATGTCTGTGGCCTCTGTTACCACCTAAGGCCATGTGGATGTTCGTGGTTTTTGCTGCTGTCTGAAGCCATGTTGAAGTTCGTGGGCTGGGCTGCTGCCATGGGACCATATTGGTGTCGGTGGCTTGTGTTGTCCTAGAAGCCGTGTTGACATTCTTGGCCGGTGCTGTGGCAGAGGCCGTGTTGATGTCTGTGGTCAGTATTGCCACCGGAGACCGTGCTGGGGTCTGTGGCACATGCTGAGACCACATGGAAGACTGTGACCCATACTCCCTCTGATTGTAAAGGGCAAGGAAGCTACTTTTGCATTGTATTGATGACTGCAGACTCACAGTTGAGAAAGAGGGACTTAGAAGGCTTCTGTGGCAACTCCTACCCCCCTCAAAATCAAAAACAAAAACAAAAAAACAGCCTAGACAGAAAGTCATCTAAAAGAACTCCTAAAATTTGTGATAAGGATGCTGAAGGGTAGCTCTTTACAATTAATGACTTCTGACCAGGGTGTGCGTGGGAAAGGACTGAAATTTCTTTAAGGGGCTGGCCACTGGGAATTTGACCATGCTCCAGTGAGTATCTGGGCAACAGAAATTGGACTTTTTTTTCTTCCTTTTTTTTTTCTTTTTTTTGAGGCGGGGAGGTCATAAGGGTGTGGGGGTGGACTGGGAGCACTGTGAAGTGGGTGTGATCGGGATGCATGATGTGAAATTCCTATATACTCAATAAAAATGTTATGTTGGGAAACTATATTTTTAAAAGATGAAGAATTTACTATCCCTGGCATGGTTGAACCATTAAATCAATGGCATAGCTATCTCCAAATCCTTTAATTATGAAGAAATCCTCAATAATGAAGTCACAGGGAGTCAATTTTTCTAGTGCTCACAGCTGGAAGCATAATTTTTTTGCTATGTCCAACACCTTGCTCACATAACAAAAACCACAGAATGTTAAAATTTGGCATCCGAAGTCTCTGCTGTGGGTCTGTGACCCATTTAAATAAACATTGCATTTATTAATTTTCATATGTGTGTGCATGCACGTGCATGCTTTCTGTATATAGCACCGGTGTGAAGATCAGAGCACAACTTGTGGAAATCTGTTTATCTGTTTTCTTCCTCTACCCCGTGGGTCCTGGGGCTCACACTCGGGTTTCGAGTCTTCCTCTACCCCGTGGGTCCTGGGGCTCACACTCAGGTTTCGAGTCTTCCTCTACCCCGTGGGTCCTGGGGCTCACACTCAGGTTTCGAGTCTTCCTCTACCCCGTGGGTCCTGGGGCTCACACTCAGGTTTCGAGTCTTCCTCTACCCCGTGGGTCCTGGGGCTCACACTCGGGTTATGAGTCTTGGAAGCATGAGCTGTTGTTACCTGCTGAACCATTTGCCAGTTCTCTTTTAAAGGAAACTCCATTTCCTTGAACTGTGTTTTACAGATAAAGAAACAGAACCCCAGAGAAATGGAAGGGCTTGTCCAGTGTACATAGTCCCAAAGCCACAGTGGCCTGACCCCCAAAGCTGAGCACTTTCCAGTGAGTCCCCCTGAAGTGTGATTTTTATCAGTTTTTAATTTTTAACTTTTATTTCTTTCAGATAGCGGAGAGAACACACGCAGAGTGGAATTTAATGCGTACGAGTGGAATTACCTACAGGAACTCTTTCATGTTTTATAAATGAGATAGCAGAGCTGGAGAGTGGAGAGGAGAAGGGTATTTTCACAAAACCAACATTAAACACTGTTCTCTTGAAACAGAGAAAAATGACCCTATTTGCCATAAATAATTCTCAAATGTACGGCTTATTTAATATATGTCCTTCAACTTCAATCAGTCTCTCTCTCTCTCTCTCTCTCTTTCTCTCTCTCTCTGCATGTGTGCATTCCTGGAATAACAATCTTCCTGTTCCCCTACAGCATGCTAAAAATGAAGTGCAAAATTCCAGTCATTTTGTGTTAACTGTCATATTTTTAAATGACATGGCTTTTTTTTATATAACTGAAAATGGAATTTGTTTTAGGTTAGGCTTACTCACGAGGAACCGAAAGGTTCTTTTTATTTCTGTGATGTTCCTATCTTTGAGCAACAGCCAAGCAATGAAAATTCTAGCTGAGGCAGTGAAGGAAAGTTAATATCACTGAGTCAGGGTAACGGAAGCTTTCCCAGTTCCATGTGCTATTAATATCTGATGTGTCAAACAAAGGTTAGGGATTCTTTTTTTTTTTATTTTATTTCTTTTTACTTCATGTGCATTGGTGTTTTTGCTTGCATGCATGTCTGCATGAGGGTGTAGGATCCCCTGGAACTAGAGTTACAGACAGTTGTGAACTGCCTTGTAGACGCTGGGGATTGAACCCAGGTCCCCTGAAGAGCAGCCAGTGCCCTTAACTGCTTAACCATCTCTCCAGCCCCAGGTTAGAGATTCTTAAAGAAAAAAAAATGTTAGTGATGATTGCTAGTGCACAGACAGGAAGACATGATTCGGGATCATCACAACAGGTACAGACTGTTACAGTGCGTCTTTCGTCTTGCAGCAGAAGAGAGAGGCTGAGTTCAACATGAGCCAGTAGGAATTGTGACCAAGGAGCAAGTGGGTGTTGGCGAATGGGAGACTACTAAGGAGAAACAATAGGGATAGAGGTAGGTGGAGGACTCTAGCAAAAATGACCTAACAGATTCTTGAGGAAGACAGATGTCTCCTGGGGGAGGTGGGAGAGGGAGAGGTTGATCCTATACGGAGGGTGATCAAACGTCAAGAGTGAGGACTTGTTGTTATACTCACTTATCTGGGCTCTTGTGAAGCCTGAATTTTTCCAAGAAATGCTCAGATAGGTCGGGCGTTTCATAAGCTTGATGGTGATTTGGCAAAGACTCTCTCAGATCACATGTCAGTAAGTGATATCCTCAAATATGCCACATCAGATAGTGACCTGGAGACCTGGGGAGCAGGGCATACAGATTAACGCTTCTCTCAATGTCTCTTGGCCACCTGAAGGCCAGTCTGTGGAAAAGGCATATAGCTGTCTTCATGGTTTGTCTCATGAGGGTTCATCAAGATTACTTATTTATTTATTATTACTATTTTTGCTCTAATTCTCACTCCTTTTTTTCTTACTCTGGATCTAATTTGTTCTTCACTTTCTAGTTTCCTGAAATGTCGGATCTAGTCTAACATGCATTTAGCACTAGGCTCTAACCATTGCTTCTGCCACAAATTTTAACAAACTGTGTCTTCATTTAATTCAAAGATTTTAGAAATTTCTTAGGACTATTATTCTTTGATCCATGAGTTATTAAGACATGTGCCTTTTTAAATCTTTGTTTCTTTTTATCATCCTGTCACTGAATTGAGTTGATTTCTCTGTGATACAAGACTAGGAACTGAGTTGTTTTTATCATTTGTTTTTCCAGTACTGGGGGTCAAGACTAGTACCTGTCTACAATCACTCTACCACTGAGCAGCATTCCCAAACTCTGGGAGAGGGAGAATCCATTTTCTTTAAGGGCGGGGTCTCCGGTGGGCTGCTGACACTTCAGTGGATGGCCTCATGCCCATGAGTATATGGAGAGCATAAGTTGGACTTTTTGGATAATTTAAGAGAGTGAGAGAAAGAGAGGGAGAGAGAGAAAGACAGAGACAGAGAGAAAGGAGGAGGAGGAGGAGGAGGAGGAGGAGGAGAGAGAACCAGAAGTTAGAAGTTAGAGGGAGAGTGAGAAGGTGAGTATGACCAAATACATTGTATGTGTGTATGAAATTCTCAAAGAATTAATAAAAATATATTAAAAATTCAGTAGAAGCTCTCAAAGGTACAAGTATAAAAATTTCAGGGAGCTGAACAAAAAATACAAATAGAGGAAGAACAGATAAGACCATTACAGATTTTGATTGAGAGAATACAAACTTTCAATTAAAAGTATCTCTGGAAAAAGAGAATAGAAAAAAATGGAAGATAAGATATCATGTAAAAGGGAACTAGAGAGATGGTTCAGTGATTAAGAGCACTGGCTGCTCTTCCAGAGGTCCTGAGTTCAATTTCCAGCACCTACATGGTGGCTCACAAGCATCTCTAACGGGATCTGGTGCCTTCTTCTGTCAGGCAGGCACACATACAAGTAGAACACTCATATACATAAATAAATAAATCTTTAAAAAATATGTCATGTAAAGGAAAATAAAATTTACTAAATGGAGGCATGTATGCTCCTATAGAATTGAAAGGGTCATTGACTGTCCAGTTCTAGAAATTGAAAGAAAAATGATCCATACTGGGGTGTATCATGACAAAATTCTAGAATGCTTTTGAATAAAGATAAGACCTCAAAATGATGGAAACATCAGGAAGGGGCTGAAATTGTCGGCTCAGTTCTTAAGAGCCCTGACTGCTCTTGCAGAGGACTAGGATTCAATTTCTAGAACCCACACCATGGTTCACAACTGTTCCAACTCCAGGTCTTGGGGATCCAACACCCTCTTCTGGCCTCCACAGGCACCAGGCACACCAGTGGTATACAGACATGTATACAGGCAAAACATTCATACACATAAAATAAAATACACCAGAAATTGGCCTAATAACACAGGGAGCTGTAGGACAATGCAGAAATGCCTACGACTTCTGAGGGAACATAGTTTTCACTTAGAACTGCACACCCAGAAAAGCTATCAACCAAATGTGAGGGTACAATGAAGACAACACTAAACACTCAAAGTAACAGCAACTCTACCTTCCATTCATTCTTTCTCATGAAAGAGAAGATGTTCTACGAAGCAGAGGAAATTCCAGAGGAAAACACACAGCCTGGAAGAACATGAGAAATCTCAAACAAGAGACTGTGGGAAGACCCAAGCATGCAATGCTGGAGGGAACCTGTAGGGCTATAGTTATGTGGCAAGCACAGAATAATTAGACTCCAAGGGTGGCTTCCAGAGGGGATCAAGAGAACTGGAGTTGGTCTGCTGTATCTGTGGTTTCTTTCTACTTGGATCTAACCAACCACAGTTAAAAAATATGTTCTAAAAATGGTATGTGTATATGCTGTAGGATGATCTTTCTGTATATTGTGAATATGTGTTGCTACCATTGGTTAATAAAGAAGCTGTTTTGACTTATGGCAAGACAGGTTATAGCCAGGCAGGAAATCTAAGCAAAGATACAGGGAGAAGAAAGGCAGAGTCAGGGAAGATGCTGAGTGCTGCTGGGGGGGTGGGGCAAAATGTAATAGAACACAGGTAAAGCCACAAGACACATGGCGAAACATAGATTATTAGAAATGGGCTAATTTAAGATAAAAGAGCTAGTTAGCAGTAAGCCTGAGCCACAGACCAAACAGTTTGTAATTAATATAAGCCTCTGTGTGTTTACGTGGGACTGAGCAGCTGTGGGACACAGGAAAACTTCTGATTACATTTGGTGCCCACTGTCAGGTGTTGGTCCACACAGACCTGAGAAACTGAGCTGCACTGGGCTTCCTAGTCTCACAGTCTCATGCCAGCAGCAGCGCAGAGACACGTCTCCTGACAGCGGCCTGTGAGATGAAGCTGGCCTCCAGCCGCCATGAGCTAAGCAGCATGG